CTTCACACCAGATAACGATGATGATGATGTGTGTTCAGGGCTGCATTGCAATATTGATGGTTCGGATCATTCGTATCTAAGTCTTCCGCTGTGTTATCCTGTACTTTGTATTGAGAGGTCGGTCCTTGTTCTGGTCTGCACGTTACAGTATGCAACAGTTTGGTATCAGAGCGGACCTCTCATTCAGAGGACCCGCTCAATCAAGTAGCCAGCTTGCTGATCTAGTGATCACTCATTAGTAACGCAAGTAGGACTTAGTCAAATCTCTGAAAATTCTTTTCTCGCAACAACTATCTGAAAATTTCTGATATTCGCATTTCGTTTTACCTGAAAATTTTCGATATTAGTAGTTCGTTTTTACGTAACAAATATCTGAAAATTTCTGATAAATCGCATTTCGTTTTGTCTGAAAATTCCCGATAGTAGCTTTTCGTTTCTCTGATATTTCGCATACAGAGCTGAAATTTCTGAAGTTAGTATTTCGTTCTCTAGGCATATTAGGATAACGATAGAAGTGGTCATATTCTCGGAAACTGGAATTATTCTTTTCTGAAAATCGCATTTCCATTCTATCTCGCAAAATTTTTTTGAAAACCGAATCTTGCGAAGCCTACCAATATTGCGTTAGGCATGTTCAGAGGTTGCTATATTCCAGGAACTGGATTTCGTTCTTTTCTGAAAATCGCATCTTTACTCCATTTCACAAATTTTTTTTTCTTCAAGATCGCAGTTTGTAAAAGCCAAAACTTTGCGGAACCTAGCCTAGATCTCGTTCATAGTACTCTTCTGACATGTCCTACTCATAATAGATCGACAGATATACCAAAAAAAAAAGGAAGTAGTCCTCTTTTATTTTTATTTTTATTTTATTTTATCTGTTGATTAGGGCCGGAGGAAAGTATTGTTGGGTTGTTTGCCTACCTGCGTTTTCCCTCCCACCCACCCCTTTGCATGCATTTCCGGGTTGGTACAGTGCCACGTAAGCAGTGCCACGTCAGCAGTGCCACGTCAGACACAATGCCACGTCAGCAGTGCCACGTCAGACACAGTGCCACATAAGCAGTGCCACGTCAGCAGTGCCACGTCAGACACAGTGCCACGTCAGCAGTGCCATGTGAGACAGTGCCACGTCAGACACAGTGCCACGTCAGCAGTGCCACGTCAGCAACATGACGGGCCTGCCAGGCCAACTGGCCAATGAGCCCATTGTCGACTACAAAAAGCGCTTCCAGGCTCAGCTCACTGTAATCGAGGCTGAGGAACAACGCCAGCTGGCAGCCAAGGCTGCCCAGCTACAGGCTGATGAAGCGGCAGCAGCAGAGAAGCTCCAGCTACAGGCCGAAGCAGACGGAGAGGCCCAGGCTCGCCGCAAGGAAGCCCAGGATCTGCTGCAGCGGCATGAAGCAGCCAGCGTTGACAGACTCAAATTCTGGCACTTTGAACCCAATGGCGATGACGCGACACCAGAAGAGCAGCATAAGGAGTTTCTCTCCAAACTCGTGACACGGCTGTTGTACACTTGCAACTACCAACAGTCCGAGTTGGCGAAACAGTACCAGGACCTGACGCAACAGCATCAAGAGTTGGCGAAGCTCCGCCGCACAGTGCAGAGCCACGAGGATGCAACTCGGGCACTCAATGCCCAAATGTTGGACCTGGAACAGGCTGTACCAGGACCGGCTGCTGGGGCTTCCAGCAGTGCAACCTCTACCCGCCAACTGGAGGAACGCGTTGACCACGTAGTGGAAATGCTCGGCGACATCAGCACCTTCGCTGCGCCGACCACCATCAGCAGTCAGCCGCATACCTTGAAGACCGAGGTCCAGCAGCTGCAGTCGACGAACGCGGATGACAATCCGAAGATGTACAAGATGCCAACTTTCCAACTGGACAAGTTCGACAACTACACGCAGCAGGATCCGGTCCTCTTGTGGGAAGCATTCACAACGCAGCTCAGGATTCTGCCCGTAGCCAAGCATGCATACATCGACGCCCTGTTCCTGAACTCAAAGGGCGGATGCCAGACCTGGTTGAGCCACCTGGCAACCTCCCACGGCGTCGATGTACCAGACTTGAAGGACAAGATCACATGGGAGGAACTGACACGGCTGTGGAAGAAGCGGTTCATTGTCGACGATGCGCCGACACTCGCCATGAACCGTTTGTTCACCATGTCACAGGGCAACACTGCAACACGGGACTGGCTCACGGAGTGGCAGAAGATTGCGGCAGTGCCGAATCTGGACTTGCCATTCATACATCTCAGACGTGAGTTCTACAACAGATCCTGCGCTGCATTGAGCCAGGCTCTTGGTGATCGCAAGCAGTACTCCACTTTCGTTGAGATTATCGACAAGGCGAGAGAGATCATCAAGACCAACAGGTCAGCTGCACACGAGAAATCAACATGGCAGCCGACCTATGTGGAGAAGGTACGAACTGGTCTGCGACAGCAGCACTTCGCTGCAGTCCAGTCGGACAGTGGAGATAACCCAGCAGCCACTCCAGCATCAAGTGACGGAGATCAGGTGGCTGCTGTCCATCCGCGAAGCAACAACAAGTCCCGCAACAATGAGAAGGCGAAATCCGCATCGCAGGCCGGAAATGGACAACCAGTACAAGTTCCATGGGTCAAGTTCGGCTTGACCGAGGCGGAGTACAAGGTCCGCG